ACTATTATGAACATATACCCACAAATCAGGAAATTTGGAAGAAACTGATAAATCTACAGAACATGAAATTTACCAAAGTCGAGTTACAAAGACAGAGAACACTTGAACACATAACTGGTAATGCAATAGCTCAGGACCAAATGCCTTCACTAATGACTTCTCCCAAACCTCCAAGAAACAGCTAATACCAGTTCTTGTCAAACTGTTTTGAATTACTCCAGTAGTATTTTGATAGGCCAACAGGCTCTTTCTTGGCTGAGAAAGAACTTGATGAGAACAATCCCAGTCACAGTAGCTACAGAAATACACACAGGGGCAGGAGCAGTGAAGCAGGCTGATCCTCTGCTGCAGCACTGGCATCCCATATGGGCACTGGCTCATGTCCTGGCTGCTTCACTTCCCAACCCAGTGACTGGGAAAGCAGTGGAGAATGGCCCAAGTCCTTGGGAACCTGCACCCATGTGGGAGACGAGGAAGGCGTTCCTGGCTCCCAGCTTCACAATGGCCCAGCTCTGCCCACTGCAGCCATTTGGAATGGAAACTCTATGTAACTGCATTTCCAAGTAAAATAATTTCTTTCAAAAATACATGAAAAAATACATACATACATATACACCCTGGCACAAATTAAAGCATTAAAAGAGATTTGCAATGAAAATTAAGAAAACACTGAAAAAAACCTGAAGATACCCAACAACAAAATGAAAACAATGCCAAAGAAAGAAAAAAAGAAAGAAAGAAAGGAACGAAGGAAAAACCCATGTATCATCACTCTGCCCCAGGGTCTGCACTGGCAGCAAGTCTGACTCAAGAGATGAAGCTAGCATGCAAACAGTCACTCTGATATTGGAAGGAGGTCACTATGTTAGCCACCATGTTAAGCGCTAGCTCCCTAAATCACATTTCTTTTTTAAAATGATGATGTTACACACTTGATTGGGGTGGGAAGGATTGAGGGTTAGGGGAAAGTGGGTGAGATCATTGTTTGCAAGTTTCCTTTTCTTCCTCCTGTCTCTGGGGGCAAGGGAGGAGATGAGAAGAGAAGCTGCACTCAGCCTTCCAACTGCCTCAGTACCTGGGGTGGGGAATGGCCACCCAATATCATACCAGGGTCCCAATGGGAAGCATGCTCTGCTGGTTCTGCTCAAGTAACTTTAATAGTTCTGAAATGCTGTTACTTTTGTTGCTTCAAGGATGAGGAAATCTGTCCAAGGACCATTGGCTGACACAGTCCACCTTAGAGTTTCCATCCGCCCAGATATATGCTGTCAACACTTGGCTGGGCTAGTTGTACAGTTTGCTTTACCCTCCTTCCTCTGCTGTGGTAGCAGATGTCCACTGCACTTCCCAGTGGACTGGCATATCCTCCATGTGTATCTGGGTATGCCATCCACTACTCTGCCTTAGCTATTGTGGAGGCCCACTTCTGATACTTGCACTCCACAGTCAGTCCACTGGTCCTAGGATTCAACACACGGTTGGAATTCGGAGTGCAGTGGTTCAGTTGGGTGAATCCCACAGAGACTTCGACTCTGCTGAACCCAGACCTGACTCTGTGTGTGCTTGCCAGTACAGGGTCTGGCTTAGTCTGACAACACATTAGCCTATGCTGGGTCAGTTCTGTGTCAAGCCCATCTCTTACACGAACAAATGGATGCTTCATCCAGCCTAACCCAGCCCACTACACATTTGATCCTCAAACATACCAGCAGGAACTGTAGCCTAGTCAGAGTGACCCCCCAAAATCACCATCAATGTACTTCTCACTATGTGCAGCAGACTGCTCCTGTCTGACACACATCCCATTCAGCTCTTGTATACATCAATGGGCGTTTTAGCCTAGTTCAACCCAATGAACACCATTATCCAGCCCACACTCATTCCAGTAGATGCCACTGCTTGGCCAGACAGTCCCACCTGCAGTCCTGCTTCTCACCCTTAGCTGTGGGAGTTGCAGCTCATTAGAGAGGAGCCCACAGTTTCCCTACTGGGAGATCTTGCACTCTCCTGGTGGTTCTGCAGTCTAGCTTGACAGGAGTTGCCCCTAGTCCCAGCATTTGCCAGCCCTGACGCTGTGGCAAAGCCTGGGCAGCCTACACTTCTTCTGGCTCATGCATGCACAGTGTTTATAGTCACCCGGCCTTGCTGCCTTTCCCAGCTCACATGCAGCCCTATGGGTATTGGTCTGGCCTGGTCTGCCCTCAGTCCCAGTTCTCACTCCCACCAGTACGAACCCCTGCTGCCACCCTATCAGGCTAACCCACCTCTCCCTGGTCTCACATGTACTGGCGGGTACGGCAGCCCGGTATCGCATGGCCTGCCTCACCTTGGCATTTGTCAGCTGATGCTGCAGCCTGGCCTGGCATGTTTTGTGCCTAATTCCAGCTCATGCTGGTGGGAACTGCAGCCTAGCCTAGCCTAGCCAGCCCTCAGTCACAATCCTAAATGTGAACTGGCTGCTGTTACAGCCCAACTAGGCCTGTCCTGCACCCTGTCCTGGTTTTCAGATCTGCCAGTGGGTGCCAAGAACGGGTCCAGCCTGGCCTGCCCCCATATCTGAGCCACAGGTATACTGGTGGGTACTGTAATCGGGCCTGGGCTGGGCTGCTCCCTGCCCTGGTTCTTGTGCTTACCTGCAGGGACTGTGTCCTGACGGAGATGTTCCCCAAGCTCCTCTATCAGGTCTCCTCCGAGTTCTTCCAGAAAAGCAGAAATTACACCATCACACGTGTGTTCTCAAGTAGTCGGAGGTGTCCTGGCTTGAAGAAAAGATTAGTTTTGCAGTTAGATGATGATACATTAGGAGACCTTAAACCAACCTGAAACAGGAAAAAGTTGACATAGTGGCAGACTACCCATACTTCATGTATGATTAGATGAGAGCGTAATAGGAAATAGAGAAGTTAGGATAAGTTGACTTGAATTTGAAAAAGAAAATCTCAAGGAGTTACTTTGGGATGAAACCATCATCCTCACTGCTAACACTCTCCTTAGGGATCCACACAAATGAATCATTGCAACTAAGGAAATCCAAATGCATGAAGTGTCTTAATGCAGCAATGACAAGTGTCCTCAGGTGAGACGAATTTAAACAACAACAAAAATCTTTCCAAAGCAGCTGGAAGATGGCCCCAGTGCTTGGGCCCCTACCACCCTCAAGGCAGACCCTGATGAAGTTCCTGACTTGGGCCTGGTCCAGCCCTGATCTTTGAGCCATTCGGAAACCACAGGGCAGCTGAAACATTTGTCTGTCTCTCCTGCTCTCTCTGCAATTCTTTTTTTTCTTTTTAATTATGTTACCTTTTTTATTATCTTACAATATATTTCGAAAAATGACCTTACAGATGTCTTATCTGCTCTATAAGACCTGGAATAAAAGAACACTTAGAATTAGAACACAGAGACATTAAGCTGTAATACTCACTTGTACTGAACCATTACTACCAAAGGGTAAGTATTTTTTTTTAAATAAGCAGATGTGCGGCTATGCAAAATAAAATACAATCTTGTTAAAACAGAACTGTAAACTTGAGTTTAATAGCTATGGAAAGGTGGCTATAGAAAGGAGGTGGTTTTGTTTTCTTTCTTCAACACATCTGGTTCTGGCAGCAAGTTGCATTATACATTTAAAGCAGTGTGTGCCCTGAAAGCTCATAGCTTCTGTTTGTGCGTATAACTTGGATCAGAGACCAGACACATGGAAAAGCACTGTTCTCAACACCCTCAACATCTCTCCTTCCAGGAGGTCACAATGCTAACAAACTCAAGACTTTCCTTGCTGATGGTACTTAGTAATTGTTTTACTCCAGTTAACACTGGATGCTTTAATATTCTCTAAAAGAGAAGTGATGAAAGCGTGTAGAAACCCTCCAGGGTCCAATTTTCACTTCCCATTCCCCAAGTAGTAAAATAGCAGCTCTACATGTCATAAAAAAAAAGAGATCATTTAAATTTCTTATTCGTTTTTAACCATAGTAACTTTACAATGCTTTTAGATTTAGTTGAATTTCCAAAATGAAAATGTCAGTTGTCAAATAATTTACGAATTTATTAAAGTATTACATACAATTGATTTCCTTTTAGCTACCCCTCCCCCTCAAAAAAGTATATATGGTGTATGTGTGTGCATTTACTTATCTTACCTTAACTAAAGTTCTCTTTCTCTGGTTGGACATGAGAAACCAGTTTAAGCAACCAATGCTTGCTTTTATTTCTATTATAAGCAATAATTCAGATCTTTTTTCACTAAATATGACTGCAGCATTTTCATAATAAAATGCACAAAAGGCAATACCAAAAAATGCCTCTGAACAGTCTTCTGCCAGGCAACCCACGTAAGTTAGACTCTACCAAAGTGGCACTACGACAATATAGGCATCCAGTTTCTTTTCCTTTTTTCAAATTTGTCAGTTATTTACCACAATTATTTTGTCTAGTAGGAGACAATTTCATGCTGGACTTAACTCTTAAGAGTTGACATAAACCAAAACTGGACAGCAGTCAACTGGAATCACATTCCAATGGTCTCCAAACATACTTGGCTAAAACACATCTTTTCTCCTTGATTGATTTTGCATTAATTTTATTAAACGTATAGCAAATAACACTGCAAAGTTTTTCTCAGAGCTTTTTCTTAGGGGACTCTGCAATTCTTGCCAACAAGTACCTGGTGAACTTGTAGACAGCGCTGTTCCTGGCTCCCCAGCAGGTGGCGGCCCCGCGCCCTGGCCGCACGCCCGCTGCATCCCGCCGGCAGCACAGAGGCTCGCGCGGCCCGGGAGCGCGCTCGCCCCGCAGCTCGGGCGGCTGGCAGGCGGGCTGGCGCCGGTCGCGTCGGCCGGCAGCAGGGCCCATGTGGAAGCTCCTCCCGGCCGCGGGCTCAGCCCGAGGTAAGGACAGAGAGGGACAGAGGGCCCGGGTTCGGAGGAGCGCCAACGCGGGGAAGGAAGTCGGGGAGGGTCGCTTCCGGTCGGGTCCCCTTACCTTCCGGGGCACGGCGGAACGGGAAGGAAACCGGGGGTCTGGCACGCGCGTGGTGGTCCCGGCTGCGCCGTGGCGGGGAAGGCCGGCTGTCCTCGGCCCCGGGGTTGGGCGGGTGGACGCCCGGCCCTGTCCCGCGCTGTGCAGTGGCCGTGGGACCCCGGCGCTGTGCAGTGGGCATGGGCGGTGGGGCGGCTGGCCCTTCGCTGAGCCCTGGCTGAGGTGGCTGAGGAGAAACAGGTGCACGGAGCAGCTGTCTGTTGTTTCAGACGCGTTTCCGTGCTGTCAGCAAGACGGGACAGCCCAGACTTTTTCTTTTTGAAAGAGAGACCATCTTTTGCATCTCCGAGTTTACTGCCCTAGATGTGTCCAACACTGGGGCTGGTCAGGCCCAAGCCAGGAACCCCGGGATGCAAGGGCCTCAGTTGCTGTCTGTCAGAGTGCGCCTTGGCGGTGCTGGGCTGGACCCCCTGCACAAACCTGGGATGCTGGTGTCCCAGGGGAGCTGCAGCAAAAGCCAGGCCACTTCACCCCGCCCCTTTCCTGTGTGTCTGCACTTCCCTAGTGGAAGTTGCTAGTTGCCTGCCTGCTGTTTGTGGTCCTTATTGGCTGATAAAAGAAAGGGTAAGCCAGTAAAGCCATGATTACCTGTGTGCTCAGGGTGTTCACGTTGTGATTGGGAAAAAAAGGGTCTCCCGAGATGCAGTGTTGACTGGCTAAGTAAAGAGGTTTAAAGAAAAAAAAAGAAGATGATTTCTTTATTTCACTTGAATGAGAGCAGGAAAGACAGAGAAGTCTTCCATTCTCGGGATGGCCTCCATGGCCAGAGCTGGACCAGTGCAAAGCTGGGAGCCAGAAGCTTCGTCTTGTCTCCCATGTGTATATAGGGGTGCAAGGACTTGGGCCATGCTCCACTGCTTTCCCAGCCAGAAGCAGGGAGCTGGATGGGAAGTGGAGCAGCTTGGGGTTGAACCAGTGCCCACATGGAATGCCAGCACTGCAAACTGAGAATTAATATGATCTGGCCTCTGAAGGACTTTTGTAAACACCAACATAGGCATCCCTATGAACTTGCACCAGTGCAAGGCCAGACCGTAGAGATTTCAGTTTGTCTTGTGGCTCTCAGAGTTCCTGTGGATGTGTGGAAAGAAGACAGACCTGAGACAAATTGAGTTTGGCACAGCATACCTGAGGAAAGGCTTCATGAATCAAGGTGTGGCCCGAGCCAGTGGAGGTTGAGAGAGCAGTACCCAACAGTCCAGCAGACGGTAGGAGGTGACTTCCAGAAACAGCGGGATTGGTTAGTTGCAGCTCACTGTTGGCCTGGTCTGAGTGTGCAGTGAGAAGGCATTTGCCCTGCAGGACCTGGTCTGAGTAGGTGACAGGCTGAGACTTAGCCATCTGTTACAGGGATAGCACTGCTCAGACCAGGCAGACATTTGGCACTGTGTAGCAGGGCTAGCCTGGGAGTCCTGTTCAGCCTGTCTCCAGCTGTTGGCTAAAGTGCACCCTTGGCCACAGCTCAGAGTTGAGTTACTGCCACCTGTGGGCAGACCTAGCTTGAGTCCAGGGCTCAGATACCCTGGATGTTTGGGCAGTGAGTCAGAACGCGTATCCCTGTCCCCCAAATAAGTAAAGTAAAAATTTACAAACAAAGAATAGGGGCTGGTGTGATGGCTCAACTGGCTAATCCTCAACTGTTAGCACTGGCATCCCATATGGGCACTGGTCCTTATCCCAGCTGCTCCACTGCCCATCCAGTGCCCTGCTTGTGGCCTGGGAAAGCAGTCCAGGACGACCCAAAGCCTTGGGACCCTGCACTCAATATGAGAGACCTGGAAGAAGCTCCTGTCTCCTGGTCTCAGATCGGCACAGCTCTTTTGTTGTGGCCGTTTGGGGAGTGAACTAATGGATGGAAGCTCCAGTCAAGTTCATATTGGGACTTTACTTGGGATTTCAGTAAATGTATACTTTGGGAAAGTATTAATTCCTTTCACTGTTGTTATTCCTTGAGAGAAATGGTATGCCCTTGCATTAATGTAGGTGATCTTTTGATATTCCTCAATAAGGGTTTAATAGAAAATGGGAGTTTAATTTATGTAAAACTGATGAACATTGAAATAGCAAAGTGTTTTCTTGACACATCATGAGTTTTATCCTATATAATGTACACATTTATGTATGTGTGTTTGTGTCTCATTATTTTATTCCTCTTAGAACCATACAGACTTTTGACTGGCACTGAGTACATCGTTGGAAGGAAAAACTGTGCTATTCTAATTGAAGATGATCAGTCAATCAGTCGAAATCATGCAGTGTTAACCGCTAATTTTGCTGTGACCAACTTGGTATGTTCCTGATTGTATTTTGCTAGCTTGCAGTGAGAGTTGAAATCACAGTATATTGCCTTGATGTGAGAGAGAGAGAGCTGTTTGAGCATTTTATGCTTTTGTTTCAGTGACTTAGAAACTTGGAGAAAGTAGGTTGTATTTGTATTTGTTTACTTAACAACATTGACTGTTCCGTGGTGAGAGTTATTGGGCTTAGCTGTGATACATTCATGATGCTCGCTCTTAAAGAGAGTATGTGACTGATGGACACAAAGTCTGGGTGTGTAAAGGGAGGCTCCGCAGTGGGAATGACGGTTTTCCCGGGGAAGACAACTGTTGCTTCTGATCCACAGCTCTTTTGAATGGCTTGGAAGGTATTTGTTAGCTTTCACCAGAACCACGGGTGATGAGAGTGATAGAATATATGAATAAATACGTTCAAAATCATCATGGTAGGAACAAGAAAGTAAGCAGTTAGTTTGAACAAATGTGACAAATGCACAAGTGATGGATTAGTTTACTGGCATTTAGGTTTTGTGTCTATTTGTGTTGTAGAAAAGCATTATTATAGAAGTTGCAATAGAAAAAATAAAATTATTACCAAAAGTCAGAACCTCTAGGCTTTATGCCTTGTTTTCATTCGCCCAGTGTTTACCATGTGCTTTTGATAATGTAAACAAAACAAAACGAAAACTTAGGACTGAAGCTGTCATGTTATGCATGAAGCAAACTGCTGCCAATCATAAAATTCTCAAGTGTGTGAAATGGAAGGGTTGGGAAAGTCCCAACTGATTTACAGAAATAAAGAAAAATGTGTATTCCAAGAGTTATAATTCTGAAATTCAGAGATTTTCTTGAAGGGAGATATTTATGTTAATTGCTAATTAGTCCTTTGAAGGCAGCCAGAACAGTAGCTGTCATTCCCTCTGGTGGCAGGATATGCAGCTGTTTATTATTTTACCCTTTTCAAAAGTTATCAGATGTCTCCTGTGAATCGTTTCCCCCTGGATTGTATGTGCTTGAGCTGTAAAAGACTTGTAATTACTTCTCTAATTTTCAGAGTCAAACTGATGAAATCCCTGTATTGACAATCAAAGATAATTCTAAATATGGTACCTTTGTTAATGAGGCAAAAATGCAAAATCACCTTCCCCAAACTTTGAAGACAGGGGATAGAGTCACCTTTGGAGTGTTTGAAAGTAAATTCAGGTATGGATTTGTTTATTTAATTTTTGTTGTTAAAGATTTACTTTTACATGAAAGGCAGATGAACAGAGAGAAGGAGAGACTAGGAGATCCTGCCTTCACTCCCAAGTTGCCACAACAGCCAGAGGTGGGCCAATCTGAAGCCAGGAACCAGGAGCCTCTTCTGAGTCTCCCCATAGCTGAGGAGTCCCACAACTTTGGGCTGTCCTTGACTGCCTTCTCAGGCCACAGGCAGGGAGCTGGATCCACGTTTGGGAAGCTGGGGTATGAACTGTTGCCCATATAGAATCCTGGTGGAAGCTTAGTGTACCAAACCAATGGCACTGGCCCCACACTTTTTAAATTAGATTAAAGTGGACAATTTTATCTCACAACAATTGAATTTTAAAGCAAAGATAAGGATTATAAGGTGACAGTATAATTGACTTCCCGTTTAGCACAGTAGTGAACTCTGTGTGGTTGGTATATTTTGTGGATCACAGGTGGGGGGTGACAGGTAAGTAAAAGTTTGTGTTAGTCCCTGTGAGTTGTGATAGGAGCCTCGTTTGTTTGATGCTTCATAAGTTAAAATGTAATGTTGATGTTGGCCATGTCTTTTTCTTCTTTGGGAACACAAGACTTAGGAGGTAAGAATTTCCTAAGTTACAAATTTATAATGTGTCAAAATTAAACGAATAATATGTTGTAAGCTTAAAGTTGTAAAGTATTGTAAAGTTGTAAAGTCTTTGTAACTGTGATAACGTAACTTTATTGTCATTCACAGGGTAGAGTATGAACCTTTGGTTGCCTGTTCTTCTTGTTTAGATGTGTCTGGGAAAACTGCTCTAAATCAAGCTGTGTTGCAACTTGGAGGACTCACTGTGAACAGCTGGACAAAAGAATGTACTCACCTTGTCATGATGTCAGTGAAAGTCACCATGAAAGTAAGTTGAACTGTGTTCCCATATTAAAACAAGTTCTGGGACCTTGAGTGAACTCACCACAGCACAGAGTTAGCACCATGTGTCTCTTCTGTCAGATTGTCTTCCTCCAGTCTCTGACATTGTCTCATGGTCTCATGCTCCCTCAGTTAAGTTATAATCACACAAAGATTTCTTTGCTGTATCTTTAAAGCCCTGAGATGTATGGATATGTACCTTCCAAAGATGCTGACTAGTCATTAAAGCAGTGATGTATTTTGGTATATTTTCAGGTTTTGCATTTTCGTCAGATTTGATATATCCAAAGGTAATTGAAGAATGGCATTTAAGATGTGATTCGTTAAACAGGCTGACTGTGCAAAAGATATGTGGGATTGTTTTAGGCTGAAAAGCAACAAATACTTTGATTCCTGTGTTTGAAGATGCAAAAACCTTTTGTTATAATTAATTAAATATTAGTGTTATATTCTAATTTATACATAAATGGCTCTTATGTGTGTACATATATGTGTATGCAATAGCTGTCAAAGAGAAAGGCTCACTGCCCAGATTGAACCTGAAGTTAAATTTGTATCATGGTGAAGTTACCCTGAACAAAGATAGTTCCCTCTTGGAAAATTTAGGACATTGATTTTTTTGCTGCTGCAGCAAGACTAACTTAAAAAATACTCATGTTGATAAACTCACAGGTAATAGATTCATAAAACATTTGTAAAACCAAAATTCATATGCATGAGGACCTGATATTTAAATGTTAGCTCAGCATAATCCCCCTTAAGATATTAAGTTACTCAAATGGAGTAGGTAATGATACATGGGTTTAGAAGGCCTGAAATAAGGTCAAAGATGCTTTGATTGTCTTGGGAGATTTTGCCAAGTCCTCAGAGCTGGACACTTCTAGTACCTGACATGCTAATGACCACCATTAGAGACACCACCATGGAGTGTGCAGCGTTTCTTCTTTGGTGTTTCTGATCACTTTTTGTAAAAAAAACATCAAAATAAACCCTGATCATTAGTTTTTGCTCAGCGTTCTCAATGCATAGTTAGGCTTATAGGGTTTTGTTTTGTTTTGTTTTGCTTTTTGCTTTTGTTTTGTTTAGATTATTGAATGTTAGGACCAGAGGGAAACCTGAGGAGTATTTAGTTCAGCTTTTATATTTTGAAGAGAAATTGCGACTCGGAGCAGTTACGTGCTTAGCCCAGAATCGCGCGTGTTGCAGTTTTATTCGTTGGATATTTCAACCCAGCCATGGCTCTTCCATACCCCTACCAAGCTCACACATGGTTCAGTAAGGGCTGAGACCTAACCTAGTCTGTCACACAACCCTCCCCGGTCCTCCAGAGCACCAGATGGTGTTGGAATTTGGCCTGGCTTGGTGCTTCCCATCCCAGTCCACAATTGTGCCAAGTGAGATTACGATCGTATCCTGATCAGAATGTAGCCTCAGTTCCAGCCCATGCGCTCCTTGGTGGGAAACTCAACCCAGCTAGGGTGTCCTGTTATTTCCCCAACCGGGCCTCTGCCCTGCCATAGAGCAGGTGTAGGCCGGTGGTTGTTCTGTCTCTGTTTGGCAGAGCCCCTCACTTGTCGTGGCCCCTTGGATGCTGTGGCTTAGTGCCTCTGCCTCACACAGATCAGTATGTGCAAGGACCTACCTGGCATGAGCTGTGCTCCAACCTGATTTCTGTTGTTACTTGTGAGTTAAGGTTTGTTCAGCCTTGCCCCTTCTGTCCCCTTCCAGTGGCAGCCCGGCCCACCCCACATCCTGTTTAAAGATGCACATTTGGGTGCTGCTGCCTTGACCTACCCTGACTGTTGTGGATTCCTTTACCCATGAGTGATGGCAGATGTCGTGGTCACACCTAGCTTAGACCATTGCAACCCCAGCTTGGGAACTAACCCGGGGGATTTGTATTCCAAAGGGTTGGACCCACACAACCCCACAGAGCCTACCCCCAGCCCAAGTTCTCTTGTGTGCTGGAGAGTGTCTTGATTTGCCAAATGTGACCACTCCACAACTCCAACACTCAGTCGGGCAATGGTACCCAACACTGCCAAAGAGGCCCCCATCCATAGCTTCGGTGTGGGCTAGTATATGGTGATCAGTGATGTTCAATACTAATATCCCATCTCTGTATTCATAATTGAGCTGTTGCATCTGTCTTACTAAAATTATCTTCTGGACACTTCCCCCAAACCCCTAGGTCTTGGTCCCCTTGCCTGCTTGTATCTTTCATGACACTGTCACTGAGAATACCCGAAAATTCACTTTGCACCTACACTCAACCTAGTCTTAGTCATGAGTGACCCAGGCAGCAATTACATATCTTGAAAACCCCAGAGTTTGCCCTTCCGGGCGGCCAGCAGGCAAAGCCTGGCACCACTTGGTGCACTGGCCGCCCTGGGGGAGGCCGAGGACTCGTTCACTGCCTTGTGGCAGTGTCTTTGGCGTGAGTCCCCCGCATTGGGTCCGACCCGGCAGGGGCACCCCCCACAGTCGCCACACTGCAGGGAGCGTCAGTTGCCCCCAAGCCCAAGGACCGAACTCCTCCCAAACTCCCCCAGCCGCATGGTCTTAGCAGCTGGGCGGAGCTAGGAATTTCCACCCAGTTCCCAAGTTCCCTCATGGCGGACTTACCCTGAGGGAAGAGCTCTCTTGGGTCCTGGGGGAGGCCGAGGACTCGTTCACTGCCTTGTGGCAGTGTCTTTGGCGTGAGTCCCCCGCATTGGGTCCGACCCGGCAGGGGCACCCCCCACAGTCGCCACACTGCAGGGAGCGTCAGTTGCCCCCAAGCCCAAGGACCGAACTCCAGTCTTGTGTTGATTGAACTTAAATACTCTATGTTGCATTTGGATGATCTCATTCACATAGGAAGTTGGGATCTGTCAGATTCCAGTCTTTAGAGATACCCTCAATCTGGTCGCTCCTAACACCTGCATTATTGAAAACATATGTATAAACTGTATAGTTGGATTATTTCCTAGAATATGCCAGCTCTTTCTTATTTTAATTGCCCACAGTAGTATTTTCTAGTCCTTTATGAGTTTGTGGATGTGTGTTACTTGAGGCTGATAGCTTGATTCACGTTAGTTCACAGTTTCGTTCTCTCTTTATGTGTGCATCAGCTTCCACTGAGCCTAACCAGTTGCTCCTTGATTTACTGTGTTGAAGAGGCTTTATTCTATACTCTTACTCCTTCTGAAAGCAGTAAGGCTCCAAAGAAATTTCCATTTATCTCTTAATGTGTATTGCCTCTGCAGGATGGGTTAGATTTCTTCAGCCTGAACGTGTACTTGTAATGTTTTTCAATTGGAATGCATTTTTAAAGTCTTTGTGTTATTCTGCCTATCCCAAAGGACTACTGTGTCATTGGCTTCTGATAATTGAGTAGTTCTGGTTTGTGGTATAAAACTGAGCAAATATGAAATTCTATTTTACAGATTGTGACTTCGTTTATCAAATTAAGAAAAGGAAAGAAAACAATTATTAGAAAGGCATGTTTGTAGTTTATAACATGAATGTTTTCTTTAGAAGAAGCTATCATAATGACTATATATATATATATCCACATATATTTTCTTTCTTTTAGACGATTTGTGCACTCATTTGTGGATGCCCCATTGTAAAGCCAGAGTATTTTACTGAATTTCTCCAAGCAGTTCAGTCCAAGAAACAGCCTCCACAAATAGAAAGGTATATTATGTGTTTCTAATTAACAACATATGACAGAAAAGATGAGCGCATTGACTTTCGGTTAACTCTCTGGAATTCTAGATGTGATAGTTGCTGTGTTCCACGTTTCTCTTGTGTGTGTGTATGTGTTCCATGTTAATGAGATTTTTTCAGTTAGTATGTAAAGAAAGAGTACCCCAAATTCTTAATTGGTTATTTCTTAGCTCTGTGAAACAGATGTTAACTGCTAATATATAACAAAAAACTGTTGAAGCATGGTAAATAGGTCAGCATTGCTCATGTGCCAGTGTCGGGGTCATGGGTGAGGTACCCTTGGTAGTGGGGCTGCAGCAACCCTCTTGGAGAACCACATATTTGCACGTAAATGTTGACGGCACTGGGCACTGCTTTTGTTACCTCATTTCAAAATGAGATCACTGACACAGTTTAGTAGCTCTAGATTAGTAATTCCATCTATAAAATCTGAGCACATGGCTTGCTCTCATCCTACTTGCTTGTTAAAAGAAATGTTGATTGTTGGTAATTGCAACAAAATGTGGATGATATGTGCCAGATTTGTGAGCCACTAGACTTGGAGATCTGTTTATGGATATTGTTAGTGATGCTTTAAAGCAGTAAGAATTAGGGTTACAAGGGAAAGTATTTGTTATTATTTATTCCAAATTGTATGATCAAAATGCTGAGCATTACAAAATGGTAAATGTCTTTAGTCAGTTACGTAGGAGAAGAGCTTGTTTACTCAAAATATACAAGTCAGTGAGTTATAGGGTATGTGACAAAATAGATTGTATTTTTTTTTCTTGGTAAGGTTTACTTAAAAGATAAGGCCATCACAGACACACACTTAGGGCTAGAGTGGCCAGAGAGAGGAAGGGTTGTAAAGAGATTTTCTGCTTTAATCTTGTTATCTTGGGTGGGGAAGAGAGAGTGCCACTTGCCATTGACTGGCTTCTTTTGAGCCTGGAAAGAGGGGTAGTACCTAATACCACCCCAAGTCCCAGGTGAGGGGAGTGCCTCCTGAGGAAGGGGCCATCTGATTGACAAGTAGATAGACCACATTGCATAAGGTAGGGGGGCTTTGGCTTCCAGTTGGTGATGCTAAGCTTGCTACTTATGTGTCCTGTTTCACTCTCCCACTAAGAGATTTCCAACCCCTTTTCTTAAGGGCTGCTGGAGGATATACATTTGTCTCATCTTCTGTCGCTGCTTCTTACTGATTAGGTGTGAAGGTCTTCATGTCCTGGGTTCAGAAAGCTCTCTGCATCTCACCTAATGGCTACATCTCAGGAGCCATAGAAAACTTAGCTGATTCTGCTGGCTGTGTCCATAGATTACTGTCACTAACTCTGAGAAGTTTCTGGCCTTTTTTTGTCTTTGAGGTGGCATCTAAGGACCTCAGCTGGTTTATAGGAGCAGGCTGACTCATTCGAGTGCACCTGGACATGCTCCCCTCCTCTGCACTGGAGTCAGCGCAGGCAGCACAGCATGCACTGTGTGTTTCAGCACTAGGACACACAGCCCACTCTGTGCTCCCTGAGATTGG